TAAGCCAAAACTCACTTTTAATGAAAAAATAGATCATAATTAAGATTTTATTCATAAACAGTCGATAAAAAATTTGATGAATTTTTGTATGATAAATATTTTTAAATATTTTCTAACTTTGCAAGTGATATTTGATTTTACTCCTGAGGTCATTATAAGTGAAGAGAAAATTTGATGATAGGGTTATATTTCAACAATGATAGCTTTTCTCCCCTTATAAATTGAAAACTGTGGTGGACAGAAGCTGCTCAGGCAATTTAATGTTTGTGCCTGAAGTTTCTGTCTGATCATCCCTCTTTAATTTTAAAGCATCCTCAGCTAAAGATTCTTAGAAAACCCTTTTTTATAATTTTAGATCGTGTATGCACTCTGAAGTGACATTTGAATAAATGAAATATTTTTCATTAACCTTGTTCTTTAAAAACATCTAAGTTGTGAGAATTGAACATGTTTTAGAATAAGTTAACATTAACATATTCCTTGAACTATATGGTAAATATTCAAGTATACTCCTTAAAAAACATTTATCTGGAAACACACAGAAGAAAGCAATCACTGGCTATACAGTTTACCAGCCATAATTAGATTTGAAAGCTGAAAAACATTAATTCTATTTGATCCATATAGTATAAACAGAATTTCAAAATACAAACAGCAAAATATCAATGTTTATTTTTTAATTCAATTCCTTATTTAATTTTATCTCTTATATTACTTATCTGATAGAGGCTCTAGGGGAAAATAAGAATATATGTGGTTGAAATCTTCCTGAGCATATGCTGTGGCATTTCAAACGTTCTTATTTCAAATGCACTTTTTAACATGAACAGATAAACCAACAGAAGATGCCTAGAGGAAAATCTAAAATTACATTGTAATATTTCCAATTTTAAGACATAAAAACTGAACCCCCAAAGCCTGATTTGTTAAAATGTCACCAAGAAATTTTCAGCACTGTTATTGATCAATGCATATTTAATAAAATAAATTTTAAGATTATATTTACATACAAGTTATTTTACTTTCATTTGTTGGCTTATCACTAAAATGTACTTGTTTATGTAGATACGTGATAAATCCTCAAAAATATGATTTACTTCATTGCCATTTTGAAGCACTGAAATTTATGAAGAGTGGGGCTGAAAAGGAAGCTAGGTAGGGAGAATACTCCTCAGATTGTGGAAGACCAATTTAAACAGGTTTAGTCTTAAAACATAGCAAATATAAATCAGGGAAATCATGTATGCACTTTAGAAATAACATACTAAAATGAAGTGGAAGAGAGAAAGTTCAATGAAGAAAGATATTTCAAAGGCTGAGATCAGGGGGATTGGCTAGTAGTAAATGAATTTTAAATATTTTTAAGGTTTCTATTTTCTAAGACTTCTTTCAAAATTTTAATCACACTCTGTTTAAAACACATGGCAAAGAAAGTATGTGTATACACCCCCACACCTTATAGATCAGATATTGACTAAAAAATGCAAAAATAGTAAATGAGGTACAGTGGTTAGCTTATTGTTGTGGAAAATAAAAAAATAATAATCTGGTGGAGAATTCAATTCTTGGAGATGAAATGTTCGGCCACTGAGACTTGAGACTTGTTTAATAACCTGTCCTGACTGGATATATTGACCCGTATCACTTAGTGTAGCTTTTTAGTTTTCTTGGTTGACTTAACTGTGTAACTTTATAAAGTCTTACTATTTTTGCTCAAGGTATACTGATCAATTTATCTTTGATTATATTCTTATAGTTTACCAACACATTAAACCATGCTCAATAAATTAAAGTTAAATATTTTAATTTTTAATGTCTTTAAACATTGAATATATATGTGTGTGTATACACACACATAGACATACAGAAAATTGATTAACATCAGAATCATGCAATCTACTTAGTAGCCTAGATGTGTGTACCTTCCACGTGCAAGCGATTTTCCCTATTTTTGCAGAAGTTCAATGATAAAATTAAAAGAAAATACTATGTTCGGCTATATAAGAAACATGTTGACCAAATATCTTTCTTATTCACTACAAGCAAAGGATCTGATTTGTTAATATGTGATTATTCAATTGGAATGCTGTTGGAATCATTATTAAAATTATTATAATTAGTTATTATGCTTCATCATCTATTGGTAAAATTTTTTTGTATTTAAAATAGGGAAAAATTTTTATTACTATGTATCATACCTTAGGAATTTTAGTCAAAATTGTCTGTGGGACTTGAAAAATATATGACTAGGTCTAAGCCCAGTATAATAATTTAATACTTCTTAGAGGGGAGAAAAATTAAGAATTTTTAAAAGCAATCTGGGTGATTCTAAAATATAAAAGCTTTATAAATCATAGAAGTAGGTGATATTTTCCTATCAGAGAAAGAAAAAAATGCTACTGGAGTAACATATTTCATTGTAATCCTTTTTTGCTGAATAACACCTATGTATATATTTGAAAACTTAGGTGTATAAATTAAAAATTATGTGAGAATATGACTTGCTTTGAACAAAAACTAAGAAGACCAGAAGTGATTTCCTTCTGTGCAAATAGAAAAAAAAAAACCTGAAAGGAAAAAAGATATTGGGGTTCCTCAGTACTCAAATGATAGTAAACAGGATTTTGTTCTGCTATGAATGATGAAAACAGTGTAGAATGAAAAATGCTTTTCAGTGAAAGCAAGAAAGGTCCCTATTCATTTTGGTAGCCAACAATGATTATATAACTAAGAATGATTGGTATTTTAAGGGATTCCAATAGGAGTATCGGGATTATTTTTTATGTACACTAAGGATAAATAAAAACCTTAAATTTCTTTCTAGGTCCAATATGCTTAAGATTAGGATTTGAGGGTAAGGAAAATTTCCCAACTTTATACACAAATGACTGCCTACTATTTTCTTACATAAATTAATTATATTATTTATTTTCTCTGAACATTTTTCCAGGTGTTATAAATATTGCCAAGGAAATCCAATCAAGTGCACAGAGAGGAATTCCAACAAATGCCCTAGCTTTTTATTCATTGTAGCAACTGAATTAGAATCTATCACATCTGACCTCAACCGCTACAGTTCTTCATTTCCTTCAGAAGACCGTCCCTAGTTATTAAAGACATATGTATGCAAATGTTTATGTCCTGTAATCATTCACATAACTCTCATTTAAGATGATAAAGAATCAAAAATTATATATTGCCAAGTATCATGCCTTAGGAATTTTAGTGAAAATTAACCCTGAGACTTAAAAAATATATTACTAGGTTTAAGCCCAGCTATTCTGATTTAGTACTTCTTAGAGGGAAGAACAATAAAGAATTTTTAAAAGCAATCTGGGTGATTCTAAAGTATAAAAGATGTTGAAATCATAGCAGTGGATAATATTTTATCATCTAATCAGCCAATTTATTTTGGTAACAAAATTCAGCAGGACCGTAACAAAAATGCTGCTAGATATAATTAAAATAATTTTTTAGAAATAAAGTACTAAAACTCTTTGCTCTTCTTTAATCATATTGTGACACTAGAAAACTTTGTATATACAGAGTTCCAGCTACTCCTTTTCTTCCTCAGTACACTGAATGCAAGAAGTTTACCCTTCTCATATATTCTTTTGCAAGCATTCATGGTTTATGTGTATTAAACATTTATTAAAAACTGAAAAAGACTTAAGGTGATTATTCTTTCTAAGTGATTTGGACTTATTAAAAAGTCATATTAGGACTTAACTTGAATTCATAAGTCAAATTACAAAAATATAACTTTTACATGTAAAAATTAAATTGGTCTTTAGTGAATGTTAATAGTTTTAATTATTACCCATTATTGTTGCTGTTGCAAAGTTCTTAGAAATTTTATATTTAGCATACTATTTAAAAATCATAGGCATTTTAAGAAACCTGGTAAAAGAATGTATTATAAAATTAATGTCACTTCCAACATAGTCCATGGAAAATTAAAAACAATAAAAATTTAAATTAATAAATTCAAAATAAAATTGATTCACAAGTTAACTTTTATAATTAAATATTTCAAACTTCACAATATTCTTTATTTGTATTTTGCTAACCAATATAAAGTTCTTGATAATATAATGTACTATCAAATATTAGCTAAATATATATTTTAATTGTTCTTATTCTTGAAATGATACTTTGAGTAGCTAAAGGTACAAATAGGGATAAAAATTGTGTATTATGAGTCAAATGTCGGGCAACAGCGTGTGTGTGTGTGTGTGTGTGTGTCTCTCTGAGTCAAATATTTCTTTCTGGGCCAGGGACAATGGTTCACATCTGTAGTCCCAGCACTTTGGGAGGCCAAAAGCAGGCAGATCACTTGAGGTCAGGAGTTAAGAGACCAGACTGGTTAACATGGTGAAACCTTGTCTCTACTAAAAATGCAAAAATTAACTGGGTGTGGTGACACACACCTGTAGTTCCAGCTACTCTGGATGCTAAGCTGGGTGGATCCCTTGAACCCGGGAGGTGTAGTTTTCAGTGAGCCAAGATTGTGTGACTGTACTCCAGCCTGAGTGACAGAGTGAGACTCTGTCTCACAAAAACAAGGCAAAACAAAACAAAATGTATTTATTCCTGTGCAGTATTATTTCTCAGATGTTTTTGTATTAATCCTTAAGTTTAGCAGCATATTGACACAATCCAAACATTTCTTCATTACATATATTAGTTTATTAAATTTATTGCATATATTACATTTCTCTTTTTTTCCACATTGTTTATTTAATTTTTTAGTGGACTATTTACATATCTCCTTCACCCTGTCTTTTAAGTTAGTCTGACAATTTTACATAATAAGCTACTTAAAGAGCAGCTTTGGTCAAAAGTGGATTTAAATTGCAAAACAAAAACAAAAACAAACAAAAAACTACTGTTTTTTAAAAAAACACTTTCACCAATTTTATATTCAAGCAAAACCACGCAGTGTTAGCGTGCTATGTGTTGTCAGTATTTCCTCACCATCATGCCTCGGCACAGCTGTGGTCAGCCACAGTTTGTCATGCTGGATGGCGGAGGCTCACTCAGCTTCACATTATCTGGAGGCCCTGGATGAAAGACTCAAGGGTCTTGAAATCCCAAATTGTCATGTCTCTATCTATAACACTAGTGCAAACTTTGCAGCAATCTTGCTTGTCCACCTGATAAATAGAGACTTGAGTGATGCTATTCTGGTGCAGCGTCTCCAAGGCCATGTTGCAGTCCTCAGTCGTAGCCCTCTTGTCCTTGTTGCGGACGCCTTCCATGGCAGACACATTACATTGGATGCCCTATTTTGGAATGTCTAATTTGGAGATGAAGGTCAGGCAGGTGAGGTCATTGTAGTTAAAGAGCACTGGGCAGCAGTCATGGCCAGCAGCCACGATGCTGATCTCTGAGACAAATGACACACTCAGGAGTGGCAGGAACCCTGTCTTCAGGGTTAAGACCTGCACCCTTTTCAAGGCATCAGCAGCAGACATGCGCTGTCCTGTCTGACCTGGGCCATGCGGCTCCCACTGGCAGAAAAGATGACCCCATGGACCCAGCCACCAGTGCCACTGCCACCAAACTCTGACATAAACTGCCCAATAGGCATCTTGCTGCCCCAGGGCGTGCTGGCTGGCTTTTCATCCACTTCTTTAATGTAGGCAGAAAACACTCTGCATTTGAAGCCACATGATCCTGCTGCCAGAGTAATGTTGCTGGGATGCCAATCCAAGCAGAGGACTGTGGAGCGAATCGGCTTTTTAATGTGCTTGCTCACCCGTTAGTCATTTTCAGACTCAAAGAAACAAACAGAAATGAGTCGTGCTCCACTTCCTACAGCAAATTTGTTCTCAAGGGGGGATCGGTTCACAAAAGCAGCTGCACGATTAATTCTCAGGATCACCAGGGTTGGCTTCCAGGCACCATCTTCCTGGCTCCAGACGTAGCCATTGCAGTCTGTCCCGCAAGGGACGGTGCGGCGCTCTGGGAGCCCAGTCAGCACCTGTGCTCCTGGAGTTCGTGAGCTGTCACCCGTTCTCCTTGCAGGTGTGCCCTGCGCGGTTAGTGGGACTGAGGGCAACCTGGGCACTATCCCTGTTCCGGGCATGACAGGTGATTGGCTCCAGTAAAAACTGATGCAGTGACATTATTCTTAGTGTTTTCATAGGAGAGAAAACTGGGGTTGGAGGGGGCCGGTTCGGCTGGGAGCTGATAATTCGCCTACTCTGGGCAGTTGACGTGAACAGGCTCCGGTGGGTGCGGCTGGATGACGCCATTTCTTATTCTTTATTACCACCTCACCTCCCATTTCTTCGAATCCTTTGTAAATTGCCGTGTGTGTGTGTGTGTGTGTGTGTGTGTGTGTGTGTGTGTGTTTACACACATATAAGAGACACATTACTCCAAAGTTTCCCTTTATACCAAAAGAATCTAGAATCATCAGTGCACATAATGGCAGTATGTGACATGAAATTTTATTAATATAAATCACACTAAGTCTTTAAAAATGTTTATTGAATTAATGATCAGTGTCTTGGGCACATGTCTTAAATTTTGATAATGGGTTTTATTGGTAAGCCTAAATATATCAAATGCTGTTTCCAGATTGATCATTCGTTCAGTTTCAGAGACTTCCTAAGAATAGGCGATCATAAGTCTGAGGTAGGTTTTTTAAGGAACACACAGAAGAGTCTAATGTTATGGTGCAAAGAGAAAAAAGATACTGAGTATAATTTTCAAAAAATTGTGGTTTATTCAAATTTAAACACTTTTCTATTTAGGATAAATTATTGCATAAGGTATTTAATATGTTATAATATGTTATACGTATCAGAAAAGTCATAATGCACATTTCTCAATGTAATTCTTCCATAATTTATTTGGTATAGAACATTTCTGAAAAATGAGAGTTTAACATACCTTGGCAAATATCACTTTAAAGGCAGACTGAATTATAGAAAAAAATGGAATTCTTCTCAGCTTCCAGATTCTGATGTTAGAAAAGTTAATTAAGATGTCAGATGTTTAGAAAGTGGATGACAAGGACAATTATGCTGAGGAAAAAGAGAGGAGGAGAATGGGAAGGCAGTGAGGTGCACTGGAATGAATATTAGAATGGGTCAGTAAACTGAGTTTACAGCCTTGACCTGAAATATGTAAACTACATGATACTGTGCAAACTATTTAACAACTTTGTCCAATAGCTTCCTAATATTTAAAATGAAGAAACTTAGCTGAATGATCTACAAGGTCTTGCCTAGTATTTAAAGTTAACTCAAATACTTTTAATCACTGGAACAAGCACTTACAAAGTGAGAAGAATGCCTAAATTAATATATTTATAGTCATCAAACACAGACTTATGCAGTTAAACACTTTTTATGACTTATGAATATAATGTTCTATTAAAGAAAATTCAATGTATGTAATTATAATCAAACCAAAGATAAGTTAATAAAGGGCAAGAAGGAGGACTGATAGTAAGATATATTTGGTTTGCTTGAGTTGCAGAGAAACAGTCAAGGATTTCTGGTGGGACCCTTTTTCCTGCCCTTTTCTTGTCTTTTCACATGATTTGCTAAAAACATTGATCAATTGGATGACATCTTTAGTCTCTGGAATACATAGGCTTCTATAGCAGGCCAATATTTTTGAAACTGACAATTTTTGTCCTTTGTCTTAATTTTAGCCCTTCCTCTCCTTACCACTATCAATCACATTAAAAAAGCTTGGCTACTCATTCAAAATAAAAGAAGTGACAAGGAATACAGCATAAAAAATGGCATCTGATTTTGGTTTCAAATACTTTAATAGGAATACCATGGTTAGAACAATATTTATGATCATTCTGATTGGAAGAAGCAGCAATAGAGGAAGGATTTACCATGTGCTTATATAAACTGGTTATATGTGCAAAAGAAATAAGGAACAATAAACTGTGGAAGCCTGCAGGAGGCCTCTGGGGAGGAAAGCCTCTCCATGCTTCATGTACCAGTGCAGAGTGACCTAGGCTCATAAACATTGTGCTCAGACGTAAAACTCCTTCATAGCACTAAGATGTAACCAGACTTGTAGGCTCCTTGTGAGGCCCTCATTCCACCAGCTGCACATAGATAATAGGCTAAAGATGACTACATGTTCTTATTTTGTGAAACTACCAAACTGCCACTGTTACCAATTCTTAGGATGACTCATCAGTTCCAGTGCACTGATTCACTCCATCACGTCACTCTCTCCCTACCATCACTCCACCCCTACCCTACACATCAAAGTGATTGTAACCAATAGTGTGAGAGACCAGAGCTCAGAGCCTTCACTGCCTCCAGTAATGAGGGATGGCCCCCTGGTCCCAATTTTACTTTTAATGTCTTTTTCTCCACCTTTTGTTGCCATGGAACTCAGGGTACCCTCAGGTAATGTGGGATCTTCTTCCCTACAATTATCATTTGAGGAGTGTTTCTCTTAAATACTAGAACATATTTATTTTGAACCCGAGGAAAGGGGGGAAAAAGGCAGATGATGAAAGCAGAAAAAAAAAAAAAAAAAAAAGAAAGCCACTTGTTAATTAACCAGTGGAGCTGCTAGCTTCCCTCTAAGGTTTTTTCTTTCATTCGTTATAGTGTAATTATAGCCAGACACATTCTGGCTCAGTCAGATACTTTGTACCAGCTTTCTTTGCAGTTACTTATAAACCAGTAACTAAGTATCTGCCAATGAAATTTGCACAGAAGTGGAGTGTGCCATTTCTGGTCTGAGAATAACGACATCAGAAATAAATCCTCCACCTCCACCTCCACCTTCTCTTTCTACTGTTAGAATGTAGCGGAGCTTCAAACATACAGAAGATAACTTGATCTCTCAAGTATGGTAGAGCAATGGTTTAGAAGGAGGCTAAACGCCCCAGATACCCATGAAGAGAAGAATTGTTCCTGAAATGGGAACATTAATATGATAACTGTTAAATGAAAGAATAGTGAACTCATTGTCTTTGTACCACTATAATTTTGGATCCTTTGTTACAGCAGTTTAGCTTTGTCCCAATTAATATAGTTTAACATTATGAAGGCTCTTAGAAAATTTCTGGTTATATAATAAGTATTAAATGTTTTGCTTATTATAATTATTAAAATACAGTAAGTGTTACTAGGTTTGTGTGTGTGTGTGTTGGGGGATATAATTGAAAGAAGCTGCAACAAAAATAATTAGAAATTTTTAATTTCTAGCTTCCATAGAAATAGAATTAAGGAAGCTTGTAGCAAAAGTAAGAACACAAATGGCAGTTTTCTGGAGTTAAGTCTAAAGGCCCCACCCAACAGGCCATTCAGCTTCCACTCCAAGGAGGATGTTTCTTTTGTCAGCTCTACAAGTTAAATGTTTACTGCAAACTTTTAAGTATCATCTTGAAAGATAATCATACACCTAATCTTATCCTATGAAACTATACAAATTCTCTTTCTTGTAATGGGATGGTAAGAAATTTTCTTAAACAGTATTCATTACTGACAGTAACTATGCAGAAATAGTGATATCTGTTCACACCCTAAGACTTTACAAAGATTTCCATTGAACTTAGTAGTTTAATAAACTTCTTTTTTGTTATTTATCAGTACACTAAAAACCTCTGGGTAGTGGAAGCTGTGGAATGACACACAGATCTTATTTTCAGCTATGTCAGGAACTGTACTTGGCCAAAGAGAACCAGTCACCACTTACAAGATTATGTGCCCCTCCCTGATGGCAGCCATAGCCAAAAGTTGATGGCAGGTTTAAAGACCAGGTGTTCTTTTCATAATTTAGATTACAGCTGGTCCAGGTCTTCTTTTGGACAAACTTTCCATTGCATGTCCACCACGGTTCAACTTCTCCCTCTGTTCAACATTGCTTCCTGCAACTCTCATCGTATTTTTCCTTACATAATATTATGATTAACCTTTATATCAACACTCTCAGGATAGCAAAATTTGTTTTCCTGGTATCTAACGTACAACACCAAATAAAGAGTTTGACAGCATGGAAACTTTTGAGATAATCACATTAAGTTTTAAATTGGCAGCTTGAATTTTGTAGGGGCACAGAGAATTGGTGGAAGAAACAGTACCAACTTAACATTCCACTGATCAGAGCAGCAGAAACAATGTATTTCCATTGCATGTTTTTCAATTTGATTTTATCTCAAGCACATAAATTTCTGATTTCAGGTAATTATCAGAAAGAGCATGAATTTGCACTTAAACTTGCATTTAATTATATGGGTTTCATTTATTCATTCAATATGTAAACATTTTTGGACTCCTTACATGTGAAAGATACTATGACAGTTTCTGAGAAAGTAAACAAAGCAGACTTAGTCTCTTTCTCACAACACATAAAGCCTGATTGTAAAGTCTAATTTTCAATAAGGAAGTATAAGTACCAGATATCATTTAAGCAATTTCAATGTTTAAATATAAGTAGCCTTAATATAAAATTGTTAAGAAAGAAAACTTGTAAATATATCAACATATAACTGTCAGCTGGCACACACCTGCATTCAAGAACTGTGATAATTTTTCCTGACTTCTTTTCTAGCTTGACATGAATTCTGAAATAACGGAGATACTGTGATTGAAATTTTAGCATAATGCATTTAAAGCAATTATGTACACTTAGTAGATGATGGATTTTGGAATTTGTTTCTGGCTAGCAGCCCATCATATAAATGCATTTGTTCAACTGTCTGAGGTTGGCAAATATATTAGATTAAATAAAGGTTATTATGTTTATGTTAACTACTTATGAAACCTAGCTATAAAAGATTGTATGTCAGGACAAGATGTGACTTTTAACATGGAAGAAAGCAGTTAGTGTCTACCACAAATTTCGTGGTCCTTCCCAAAATTTCTCTACAGATTTAGTAGTGTATTACTTGAAGCAACTTAGGCACATGACAATAAACAGTCCAAATTTTATATGTCTGTCATCACCATTATCATTGTATAGAACATGTATCAAATGTTAATTAGTACTGGATTCTATGCATTTTATAATCTTTTAATTTATTATCAAAATAAACACACGTGGTATATAATATTCACAGACAAGGACATTTCTGTAATTAAATTCAATTTGTCTGCTCAGAGGAAAAGACCTAGACTTTCAACTGAATTTTCTTGAGTTATGCTTTCCTACAAGAGTATTAAATAAATTTTATTGTTCTTTACTTGTCAATGAATAAGCATAGCTAATCATCCTGTGTCCATCCCTGGAGGTGTGAACATATAACTTTCA